TTTCTCATGTAACTGAAAAAAATAAGTTTAGGGTGTTCTGTGATAGAAAAATGATGGATTACTGGTGTGACTTTAAATGCTAATACTTCCAGCATTTTGGCACTTTCTTATAAATAAACAGACATCACAGGCAATAAAGGTATTTTTCATTAGTGTAAAGCTTAAAAATCAGAAAACGAGAGTAAGTGTGCTAATCTCAAGTGTTCAGTACACAGGCCATCGTGAATCTAGAAAAGGCAAGGATTTTGTGCAACAAGGTGGTGTTGATTGATATGATTTACACAGGTGCATGAATGTTGCTCTTGTGCAATTAAACACGACAATTTTCTTTGAAAACACAGAAAGATAGATTGTGTGTTACCTGTATTTTAGAAGACATTTTTGTCAAGCAAAGACTTTGAATTATAAGTCATGTTTTGGTTCTATTTCATAACATATTTTAAAATCAGATTTTAAGAATGTATAGTAATTTTCATATTTCCTAGAAGTTTTTACATGAAATGATTGGTCTACCGTGATTTTTAAAACATATTGGTGCATGTTATAAAGATTATAATTTATAGTATCATATTTATTACTAATGTGCTAATATGATATTAAAAAACAATTTTTAGACCTTTTGATCCTCAGTATTACGAAGATGAATTTGCAGATGAGAAAGTGCTTGACGAGGAAGAAAGAACCAGGTTGAAAATAAAGGTACCAGTTTATTTAAATCCTTTTTTTTGTTGTTTTTCCTTTTATAAAATACAGTGCAGGCATACTAACTTGAGACTTGAGCTTATGAAATGATCTGTTATGCAAGGAATTAAATGTCTTTTCAGAATATGTTTAGAGGAAAAAGTATATCATCTTTTGTTTAAAATGTTTTTATTAATTTTAGAGTGAGAGGAAGGGGGCCTGGGGGAAAGACAGGGGGAGAGAGAGAAACAGAAAGATTGATTTGTTGTTCCACTTATTCATTCACTGGTGGGTTGTTGAATGTGCCCTGACCAGGGATTGAACCCACAACCTTGGCGTATGCGGACAATGCTCTGACCAAATGAGCTACCCAGCCAGGGCCATCATCTTTTTCTTATCTCTGTAGAATTGTCACTTTTCTAACCTTTTATTTGTTGTAGTTTTTTTGAGAGAAGTAAAGACAAAAATTATTGAAAATTGTTAGCTACTTCTTTTGAGATAAATGATAATGTAGCTAGGGACAAAGACTGCCTTCATGTGTTATAGGGGATAGATCCTAGCGACTTCCCACAATGGGAGCATCTCAGGTCCTTTATGGACATTCAGACTGTGCACAAAAAGAGGCCTGGTCCTTAGGCAGTCCCTTTGGAGAAGGCCTGGGATGGTCAGGCACGACTGTTGCTCTCACAGTGACTCACATGCGCTTCTGTCCGGGCTCCTGTGGCAGCCGTGGGCAGGATCCACTTCCAGGCTACTTCTGTGACTTGGCGTTCCCTACCATATGCGTAAGATGAACTTGAACTAAAAAGTAGGGCAAAACAGAAGTCTCAGGTTTTAATTTGTTGTTAATTCTTTGTTTATTCTTTAAAAATATTTTGTAATGTAAGGCCCAGAGCTTTGTTATTGGGCTAATGGGCACTTTTTTAGCCTTCTTTCATTGGGTTCAAAGCCCTTCAAGTGGCCCTGCCACAGGCAGAGGTCTCAGCTTCAACTACCCACCTCAGGGGACCCACAGCCTCCTCTTCTCCCCCTCAGAGCTCTTGATATGCAGGTAACAGCTCCATCCTGCCTTGTATTTAGCTTCTGCTTCCACTGTTGTTTATGAACTGGGGCTCAGAAAAGATTTAACACAATGTCTGGTTGGTTTAACCAGTAGCTCTAGGTGTTTGTAGCAGGAGGGTGTCAGTGTGGCCCGATCAGCTATTGTTTTTCAGCTTGTTCTATCACTGCCCATGAATTCTTGGCACGTGATTAGAAGTCTCTTGAGAGAAAAACATGCAAGCCCACCATGCTGGGTTTCTAACACCTTTGTGCTCGGAGCCAGGTGGAAAATACTATCCGATGGAGGGCACGCCGGGATGCAGCAGGAAATGAAATTAAAGAAAGCAATGCTCGGATCGTGAAGTGGTCAGATGGGAGGTGAGCGCCTGCAGAGTACTGAGACACCCAGCGGGAGGCCTGGGAGAGTGTGAAGTTGTCTGTGTAGGACCTTCTTTTGGGGTCATGTTTCATTACACCATGAACAAAGTCTACGCCTCTGATATTACCTGGGAAAGCTGAGAGAGAAAGATGGGGTTGCGGCCACAGTGTTGTGCTGGTGGGAGATGAGGACCGGACCCCTCGATATGGTTCGGTTCATGGTGTCTGTCTGCCGGTTCAGGTGAAGTCGTATGTTAGTTCCTGTGTGTGAGCTATTAGGTATTTTACACTGATGTGTTTTTAAAAGTTGTTTGTTTTACTAATGAAGTGGTAGAGACTGGGAAAATGACAAAACAACTATATTTCAAGTGGAAAGAGGATGGGTTTTTACCACCTTTTGCTTTGAAGGGAGACAGGTTAGTTATTTATAGTATCTTTTCTTAGGAGTTTGGCATGAGGACGGGGCCTACACTTCTGCAGCATTTAGGTGAGGTGAACGGGGTGGAAAGGCAGCTGCAGGACTGCTCATCTAACCACCCTCATAATGGACCTGTTTCTCGTTTCCAGCCTGTCCCTGCACTTGGGCAGCGAGGTGTTCGATGTCTACAAAGCCCCACTGCAGGGCAACCACACCCATCTGTTTGTTAGAGAAGATACTGGCCTACGAGGACAAGCCATCTTTAAATACAAACTCACCTTTAGGTAACTATTCCTATGAATGCATTGCTATTTGCAGTTAAAGAGCAACAAGGGAGAGAGGTGTGCAAAAGCCCTAATGACCTGCTTTCGAGGCGCAGTTCACCAAGGACCATGGCCTGATTCCTGGACTAGTTTTCACTTTTGCTGCCACGGCCGTTTCCCAGGGAGCCGGTTCATGCTGACAAACCACTGTGAGGAAGCTATATGAAGCACAGGCCCACGGTATTAATTCGCCTTGATTAAGGCGCCTTGGAAGAGGCCCGGAAGGCTTGTCTGTGCTGGTCAGTGTGTGCTTTCTCTTTACTGAAACTTTCCTGGGAAGTGAACAGATCATGAGCACGTTCGTGTGCACCTGCAGCTGAGGAAAGGGAAGAGCTAGATGGTGCGACAGGCGGCTGCCCGACCCACACAGACAGCCGCTCAGTGCTGTGCACGCCTGTGCTTTGGCCGGCCGCTTCCCTGGGCGCCGCAGTCCGCCCCTTCCCATGCCCTCCCTCTGAAGGACCCGCCAGGCAGCTGTCCTGGAGAAGTGTCTCAGTGCGCACAAGGCTTTTCTTAGGGGGTCATGGAAAAGCTCTAAAATCAGATGGCGGTAATGGTGTAAATTAACTGTGTAAATTAAAAATTGTTTAATTATATATTAAAATGGGTGAATTTTATGGTATAAAAATTATACTTGATAAATCTTTTGTTCTGTTTTAAAGACTGTACTGGATAGCTCAGAGGTGCTGCTTCACATCTGTCCGCAGAAGCTTCAGGAGGAGTCTCAGTCTCACTAGTGTTTAGTTTCCTCATCTATAAAATGGAAATATAGCATCCACCTCACAGGAATGTTGTATCACTTAAGCCCTGGCCAGGTGGCTCAGTTAGATGGAGCATCATCCCTTACACCAAAAGTTTCAGAGTTCGACTCCCAGTCAGGGCACGTGCATAAGTTGCAGATTCGAATCCCAGTTGGGGTGCATATAGGAGGCAACCAGTCAATGTTTCTCTCTCACATTGATGTTTTCCTCTCTCTCTCCCCTCTCCCTTTCCTCTCTCCATAAAATCAATAAAAGTATATCTCTAGGTAAGGATTTAAAAAAACATCATGTAGTGCAGACACCTGGCACAATAAATGTTGCTCAATCCAGCCTCCTGATGATCTCTTCTGCAACGGCACCCTAGAAGACAAAGAATTCTGAGTGGGCACCATTTTCATGGTGCCCCACGCTCCCCACTGGGACAGCACTGCACTGTCTCCAGCACAGTTTCACTCCTTACACGCCCTGTCTCACAGCCACGCCCTCCTTCAGATGCTCTCTCCTAAGGACCATCCTTTCTTCTCTCTGATGTCCTTAAAACCCACCTTCTTTTACTCAGGAGGACAGTGCTTTCTGCGCCAGGGCCTCTTGTTCCATTTTGGTCCCCCTGAGCTGTCACGAGGCCCCCACGCCACTGTGACCTGCCTCCTCATTTTGACCTTCCAATTTTATTCAGATGGAAGGGCTTGTCTTTAGTTCTTAAACCATGCCTTTTCCAGCCTCTGCACCTCCCTCTTGGAACTGAGATTTCATAGCCCTTCTTTTCTGTGTTTGTAGTGGGGGATTTTCTCTGTAAAAATCCCTACCCTGCCGAGGGCCTCTCCTCCCATCCCCCTCCCACTTCACCCTGTCCTGTTCTCCAGGGGGTGGGGCAGAGGGAGGAACTTCTCCGGAGGCAGAGAGGAAGCAGGGTTCAGAGGCACCAGGACCCGGGGCGCTGCCTCCCCGCTTTGCTCAAGGAGAGGTGGTCATTGTCTGCAGCTGTTCGTGCAGTACGATTGCCTCCAAATGTTCTTAGTAACCAGACTTTCTTGTTCACTTCCTGCAGACCTCACTCTACAGACTATGCCACACGTAAGAAGATGACCCTGCCACTTGCTAATAGATACTCAAGGACACAGAAGATTAGAATCTTACCAATAGCTGGTCTTGATCCTGAATGCCAGCGCACAGAGAAGATTAAAGTACGTTGGCTAAGCTTTATCCTGGGATTTTGGGGTATTAATAGCTGTGTTTTCCCGAATATTAATTCACCATTTTTATTGCCATAGTCAATTTATCTCCTGTAGTTATCAGGGAGCCTCTGACAAGTAGGTTAACCACTGGCTGCAGGTGAGATATAGCCAATTGGGTGCTCTCTCTCCACTCTGAGATTTCAGAGGAAAACTGGTAATTTTTAAAAAATGACAGCTTTTGACAGATGTCACAAAATTGTGTTAGCCTGATAAGAAGTGATTCAGGAAGGTCAAAAGGACATTTCTGACTCTTTCAAAACTGGCCCTGCCTTGTGCACCCCAACATGTGGGATGCCAGGCAGATGGAAGGGGGTGAAGGCTCTACTTTGGGGCTCAGGGACCTTCCCTCACCTGCACCTCTTGTCGGCAGGGGCTGTGGGGAGCTACCTGTCTGGACGGAGAGCCCCAGACAGGAATGTCCGGGCACCATGGTGATTTGGGGGAGCCTGGGCAAGTCAGGTGTCTATGTCGGGGTGACAGAAAGAGCCTCCCTCAGGTGTCCACTGGGCACACCAACAGTGCTCAGGCTGGTCGCTGCTCTCCGGGCCCTGCCTGGCAGCACAGGGGACATGGCAGCTCCCAAAGCTGTGCCTGTGCCTGTGCCAGTTCTGCTGAGACGGTGAGTGTCGGGGAGCCTTCTGCTTCTTTGCCTGTGAGCGGCCCTCACGCCCTGGAATGAAACAGGGCGGTCACTGCCTGGTGACAGGTGTGGCATGGAGAGAACGGTCCTGACAGAAGAAATAGAATGGAATTAGGTTCAGGCAGGCACAAAAGTTGTTCCTTTTTAAGTTCAATGATGTATTTGCTTCTTTACAGAAAGAAGAAGAACGTTTGCGGGCTTCTACTCACCAGGGGACAATCCCTCTTCCAGAGAAGCAGAAGCAGCCGGGGCCAAGGGTCCCTAACCAGGAGTCCAGCAGTGACGATGATGGTGAGGAGGAGGAGGTGGAAGAGGAGGAGGAAGAAAGTGATGAAGCCAGTACAAACCAGTGCCTCGGGGGCCTCGGAAGTGAGTCTGAGTTGGGTGTGGAGGTAGCACTGCCCCTCGGAGCCACAGGCCTGCTCCTGCTCTGTGGGGCGCTTCCTTACTCCCTGGCCTGCTATTATTTGCTCAGGGCCACAGCAGAGGGGGCTTTTTGTTGGTTTGTTTTTGTTAGGGCCACTGTCCCACTGTAAAGCTAAGGTGGGAAAATAAGGCAAAAGAAAGAAAATGAAACAATTCTGTCCTTATGGAGGAAAATGCGTAGCAGAGGCAGTTCGCCTTCTTATGAAATTAAGGACCCAACATTTAACCTATGTATCTTGAAAGAAAATGTGTGCTTAAAGCCCCTTTGGTGTTTAAAAGCCACCAATCTGAGAAGGAACCCTCTCCAGTTCAAGGCATTTCAGCGTGTCTGACAGTTAGTTACACGGGGTGGCGGAGGTGTGTCTGCAGTTGTTTGCGTGGAAGGAGACATGCAGGCTTTGGTCGTTCCAACAGCCTCATTAACCCGAAGACTGTCACAGTGGGCAGTGCACACAGGTGCAGTCTCCTCGGTGCTCGAATCGCCGGCCTGCATTATTTGTTTGTCCTGTAGTCCACTTGCTGTGGGAAAGCACACTTTGGCACAGTCTTACCTACTTTTGCCCACCCCAGGATAGACCTTCTTATCAAAACTTTAAAAGAAAATGTTGGTTCCTCAAGGAAAAATGTGCAGTGGGAAGTAACAATAGTCAGCAGTAGAAAAATTCAGTAATTAAAGAGTCTTCATCTTGGAAGGCAGTCAGTCTCACGTCTGTAGTTGCTTCGCTTTCAGAGGAACGAGGCAGAATCTGTTCATCAGACAGTGATGTGGGATCAGAGGAGGAAACAGCTCACGGATTACTGAGAACAAAGCAACTCTCCAGTGATGAGGTAAAAGCGAGTTTGTTTCATTCCAAAGGGTTTGCTCTGTACCCAGGAGCTCACTTCCAAAGAGGAGCTCAGAGCCTGGGAGCACGTCACTGAGCCTAGTGAGATGAGAGCAGCAGCAGGACTGGGGCGGCCCTGGTCAGGGGGCGTGGGAGAGTGTTAGCTTGTGGGGCACACCGGCCAGGGTGAGCATGCCAGGGAGATGGAAAGGCCTGTGAGAAAGGCTCAGGGCCCTTACACACCAGGTCTCATCTGGAGAACGAGAAAGAGTTCAGTGAGGAGAGCAAGGGGTCCCCCATGTTCATTGTGGTAACTGGGCGTCTTTATTGTTTAGGTGTAATGGTAGTGGAGGCATATTTCATTTCCGTGTTTTTTAAAAAATATTTTAATTGTATCTTTTCCATTGCCACTTATCCCCCTTATCCCTCCCCGCCCAGCAATCATCATACTGTGGTCCATGTCCATGAGTCCTGTTTCCTTTTTGCTCAACCCCTCCACCCCTAACCTCCCCCACCTGCAACAACTGTCAGCTTGCTCTCCATCTATGAGTCTGTCTCTGTTTTTCTTGTTAGTTCACTTTGTTCCTCAGATTCCACATAAAAGTGAAATCATAAGGTATTTGTCTTTCTCTGACTGACTTATTTCACTTAACATAATGTTCTCCAGGTCTATCCATGCTGTCTCAAAGGGTAAAATTTTCGTCTTTTTTACAACCGAGTAGTATTTTGTAGTGTAAATGCCCCATAGTTGTTTTATCCACTCACCTACTGATGGACACTTGGGCTGCTTCCATATCTTGGTGATTGTAAATAACACTGCAATGAAGAGAGGGGTACTTATGTTCTTTCAAATTAGTGTTTTGGGTTCCTTCAGATATATCCCCAGAAGAGGGATCACTGGGTCAAAAGGCAGGTCCACTTTTAGTTTTTTGAGGCATTTCCATATTGCTTTCCATGGTGGTTGCACCAATCCGCATTTGCATGTTACTAAAATATTTTTTCTTTAGCCCTGGCTGGTGTGGCTCAGTGAATTGAGTGCTGGCCTGCAAACTGAAGGGTTGCCGGCTCGATTCCCAGTCAGGGCACATGCCTGGGTTGCCAGCCAGATCCCCAGTTAGGGGTGTCCCAAAGACGGTGCGAGAGGCAACTGATTTGATGCATCTCTTACACATCGATGTTTATCTCCCTCTCTTACTCCTTTCCCCTCTCTCTAAAAATAAATAAATATATATTTTTAAAAAATTGTTCATTTGTATAAGGGAGACATTTATTTTCACTCATTTATAAAAATATACATATTTAAAACTTTAAGAGCACATAAAACACCAGCAGTCATTTTTAAAAGATCAATAAGCTTTAAAATATTGAATTTAGACAGGGAGAGTAAAGTGCTAAGGAAGCAGAGGGATGCATTTCAAGATACTGACAGAAATCCTAGTGAGCACAGTGAGGAGGAGTGTCCCTCCGGCCATGACCGCCTCCAGGGGAAGCGCGGCTTTCCTTCGCCCACCTGCTAGGCACAGTGTCTACACACACTGGTCGCCAGTGGGGGGTTCTCATGTGAAGGTGGGCTCTCCTCAGTGAATTCTAAACCACTTTCAAAACAACTTCCAGAAACGTTTGATAGTGAAGTTTACCTCTTATCTCTCATGTTTTTTCAGGAGGTGAACCCTCCAGAAACCGGAAAGCAGGGGGAGAAGAGAAAGCGGATGTCAGAAGCATGAAACGTGCACTCACTCACTGTCTGTCTTTTTTTGAACAGTTTGTTTTAAAATAATGATGAAATGACTTGTTTTGTTTGAAGTGATGAATTGAATTGCTTTTGCATAATGCCAGTTGTGAATAAAGAATGTTCAGAAGCAAGTCTGTGACTTTAGAAAATCCATTTCCTGTTTACTCTGGGTCTTAGTTTTGTGTGCCTTCTTGCCATTCGGGCTTGCTCTGTCCCCTGTGGGGCCTTGCTCACCTAGAGGTGAGCTTGGGTTTAAGGCTGGTATCACCTCCTCTGGGGTGTCCTCCCTGTTCTTTCTAGCTGGGTTCAGGTTCTTCAGTGCTCTATGGTCTCTGTTGGCATGGCGCTAACTTTCTGTTAACCACATGGCCCTATGACTTTCAAAGAGCAGGTTCAGCAGGGGAGGGCTCACTGGACTTTGGGTGCTTTGCCAGGTGCTGAGCAGACCTTACCAATTCTAATCCTCAGAACAACATGGAGGGCCGGGGCTCTTATTCCAGTTTTACAGATGTGGAAGCTGAGGTGTAAAGAAATTAAGACTGGCCCTGGCTGGTGAAACTCAGTGGACTGAGTGCCGGCCTGTGAACCAAAGGGTTGCCGGTTCGATTCCCAGTCAGGGCACATGCCTGGGTTGCTGGCCAGCTCCTCAGTAGGGGGCGTGTGAGAGGCAACCACACGTTAGTGTTTCTCTCCCTCTTTCTTCTTCCCTTCCCCTCTCTCAAAAAATAAATAAAATTTTTATTAAAAAAAAAGAAATTAAGACTGCTATCCAAAGTTTTTTCTTCCCAAGTAAAGAAAAATCATCATTTTTGAGACAAGGCAGGATCTTCTGTGCACAGCCAAAATGCTGAGCAGGCACATTAGTGACCTTATGGAAAAAGACACCCAAAACACCTACTTGAGATAAACAGCCAGCACAGAGCAGTAGGAGACAAAACAGATTTAGCTTCTAACTTTGTGACTGGTACAGTAACTGGAATGTAATAGGTACCTAGTAAGTATTTACTGAATGAACCAACCATCAGTAATATCTCGGGCAGGTTACTCAACTTCTCTGATGTCAGTTTCCTCAAATCAGTGGTGTTTGGACTTGACCATGTAATACATCATGATTTTATATTTCTCTACCTTTGAGGATTAAAAATACTAATTTGATGTTTTAAAAATGTTTTATTGCTAAATAGCAGAAAACCTGGATTTACATTATATTCCCCTCCCTTTTATACTTTCAGAATGATTTTAGCACTGGCTCCCGAAAGACAAGTTAGAGGCTTATCAAGGACACCGAGAGGTACTAGCACAATTGTAGTTCAGCTGTGCTTCCCCCCATTTTTTCATGTTCTTATTTATTTAATTATATTTTATTGATTATGCAACTACAGTTGTCCTGATTTTTCCTCTTTGTGCCCCTTCACCCAGCACCCTCCTCTCTCTCAGGCAATTCCCGCACCATTGTTCATGTCCATGGTCATGTGTATGAGTTCTTTGGCTACTCCATTTCCTATGCTGTACTTTACATCCTCATGGCTATTCTGTAACTACCTATTTGTACTATTTTTTCTTTTTTTTTAATTGTTCAAGTACAGTTGTCTCCATTTTCCCCCACCACAACCATCCCCACCTCCCACCCTCTATCCTACCCCCCTTCTATTTGTACTTCTTAACCCCCTCACCTCCTCACCCATTCACCCACATGCCCCTCCCATCTGACAGCCATCAAAACACTCTCTGTGTCCATCATTCTGTCTGTTGTACTTGTTTGCTTAGTTTGTTTTTTAGATTCAATTGTTGATAGATATGTGTTTACTGCTATTTTATTCATAGTTTTGATCTTTTTCTTAAATAAGTCCTTTTAACATTTCATATAATAATGGTGTGGTGACGATGAACTCCTTTACTTTTTTCTTGTCTGGGCAGATAAAGCTCTTTATCTGCTCTATGATTCTAAATGATAGCTTTGCTAAAGCAGTCCCTGCTTTTCAAGACTTTAAATATTTCTTGCCAATCCCTTTTAGCCTGAAAAGTTTCTTTTGAGAAATCAGCTGACAGTTGTATGGGAACTCCCCTCTAGGTAATTAACTTCTCTTCTCTTGCTGCTTTTGATTCTCTTTTAATCTTTAACCTTTGGTGTTTTAATTATGATGTGTCTTGGAGTGGGCCTCTTTGCATTCATCTTGTTTGAGACTCTCTGTGCTTCCTGGACTTGTATGTCTATGTCCTTTGCCAAATTAGGGAACTTTTCTTTCATTATTTTTTGAAATAGATTTCCAATTTCTTGCTCTTTCTCTTCTCCTTCTGGCATCCCTATGATATGAATGTTGGACCTCTTGAAGTTGTTCCAGAGGCTGCTTATACTATCCTCATTTTTTAAATTCTTTTTTCTTCTTGTTCTGATTGGTTGTTTTTTGGTTCCTTATGTTCCAAATCATTGATTTGATTCTCATCTTCATCCACCTTACTGTTGTTTCCCCGTATATTGTTCTTTATTTCAGTTAGTGTATTCTTTGTTTCTGACTGGATCATTTTTATGCTGCTGAGGTCCTCACTAAGTTCCTTCAGCATCTTTATAACCAGTGTTTGAACTCTGCATCTGATAGATTGCTTCTCTCCATTCCGTTTAGCTCTTTTTATGGAGTTTTGATGTATTCTTTCATTTGGGCCATGTTTCTTTGTCTCCTCATTTTGGCAGCCTCCCTGTGTTTGTTTCTATGTATTAGGTAGAGCTCCTTTGACTCTGTGTCTTGGTCACGTGGCCTAAAATAGTAGGTATTCTGTAGGATCCAGTGACACAGCTCCCCTGTCATCCAAGCTGGGTACTTGAGGTGGGCTGAACATACCATTCTCTTGTAGTTAACCCTTGGTTGCTGTTGGCAGGTCAATGGGAGGGATTTACCCAGGCCAGTCAGCTGCAAGGACTGGCTGTGACAACTGGCCACCAACCTCTGCCCTCCACGGAGGATCAGCTGTGCAGAGAGGGGCAAGGTGGTGATATTCCAATCTGGCCTGTAGCTGTCCACTGGATACACTGGCCATGGTTATTATCTGGATGCAGGCCAAGGTCAGCCCCCACCTGTGTTTTGCCCAGGGCCACCCTGCCTGAGCTATAAAGCCATCTGAGATGGCTGCTACTTGTGCTGGGCTTGGAGATTCCCAGGTGAAGCCAAGCTGTGAATCTTGGCTAGTTGTTGCTAGTTTCAGACCTGAGGCTCACTGAGGCCAGCTGTTGCTTGAGAGGATTTAGGAAGTTGTGCAGTAAAAGCCAAGACCAGCTGTTCATGGAAAAGGAGCTTAGGTGGGCCCATAGTTGGGTGGGGCAGTCTCTGGGATTTCCAAGGTGGGTCAAACAGTGTTAGCCATGTTGATGGAGTCTCACAGATGGCACCAGCCTGCCAGCTCTGCGGCTCTGTGGGGGTAGGGTTTAGAAAAGGGCCAATGGCCTCTGGTTGCCTTGATACCAGACACATCAATTTCTCCCAGTATACCACTGGTGTCTTTCAAACTGCTACCCTGGTGGTGGAGCTCAGAGGGAGTAAGTCTGTGAGTCTGTGTGTGGGTTCTTTATAAGAGGAAATGCTTGGGGTTACAGAAGTTTCTTCCACTCTCCAATCCCCGCTGATTTTTGCAGCCAGAAGTTGGTGGGACTTACCTCCTCGCACTGGAACCTTGATGGGCAGCTGGGAGTCCTCGCTCCTAAGATATACCTCCCAGATTTTTATCCACCACACATCCATGTGGGGTCACCCCATACCGTGTCTGCACCACTCCTACCAGTCTGGATGGATGTGGTTTCTTCAATTCTGTAGTTGTCAGACTTCCATTCAACTCAATTTCTGATGGTTCTGAGTAATGGTTGTTCTATATTTTAGCTGTTGTTTTGATGTGATTGTCTAAAGAGGCAAGCCATGTCTTCTATACCACCATCTTGACTGGAAGTCCCTCCCTAAATTTAAAAAAATTAAATCTATTGGGCTGACATTAACGTAAATTTCAGGTATACGTCTTTCTCATATAGCATCTGTATACTATATTGTGTGCTCACCACTCAAAATCTAGTCTCCTTCAGTCACCATATATTTCAGCCCCTGTACCCTCTTCATCCTACTACCCCCACCTTCTTTTCCCCTCTGGTAACCACCATTGTTTCATCTGTTAACTTTTTGTTTTGTTTTGCTCCTGTTGCATTTTATGTCTCACATGAGTGAAATTATATAGTTCTTGTCCTTTTCTGTCTGATTTATCTCACTTAGCACAATACTCTGAAGATCCATCCATGTTGTCACAAATAGCAGCTTCGCCTTTTTTGTGGCTAAGTAGTATTCCATTGTGTGTGTGTATGTGTGTGTATATATATATACTTCTTTACCCAGTCGAACATTTAGGTTGTTTCCATGTATCAACTATTGTTAATAATGCTACAATGGACACAGGGGTGCATATATATCCATGCTCTAGATTTTGTTTGGTTCTTTTTTCATGGTTTCAGTCTCTTTGGTCATTTGTTCATTAATTTTATTCCTCAGCTTCACTGAACTGCCTTTTTGAGTTTTCTTGCATAGAGCTGCGTTTCTTCATAACTGCAGTCTTGAATTCTCTGTCACTTAAATCACTACCCCCATGACTTTCAGTTTGGTTATTGGAGACTTTGCTCCCGTTACCTTGGTTGTTCATGGTACCTGATGGATTATTTCTCTTCCTGCACATTTCAGATAATAAAGCCTTTTCTTGTTTAGTATTTTGCTTTCAACATTTCAGGTTGATAGGTAGGGTACTTTCTTTTTGATTATGTTGCTGGGGTATCTCAGCTTTCTTTACCAAGCTCTGCTGGCGTGTGTGGGGCAGGAAGGGCAAGTTCCGTATATGCCAGCTCTATCCTCCTGCCAGCAAAGGCTGCAGGCACCGTTAAAACTCACCCATTTTCTTCACCTGGCAGTGTGGGGCAGGAAAGGCAAGTTTGTTATCTCCAGCTCCCCCTCCCAGTAATGCCTGCTTTTTTTTAAAGGTTGTTAGAAGGAAAGGGAGACATCAATGTGTGGTTGCCTCTTGCTCACCCCCTAATGGAGACCTGGCCCACAACCCAACCACACGCCCTGATTGGGAATCAAACTAGTGACCCTTTGGTTTCCAG